GTAAATACGCATAGAATGTTTCACCTCAACCTAAATTTGTTTTTACTAATATGAAGGTGAATAACAGATGGTTCTACCTACAACAAAGATTTTTATATCTCTCTCCATTAGGTTTACTCTTAGAACATATTTTAACGAACTTTCGGGCACTTTGATATATTATAGTATTACGAACTGCTTCTTGCGAACGTTTACGAAATATCCGATTGTATATCTTCTGTAAATTGTGTTGTACTTGTTCCTTAACAACATTTAGAAAAACTATGGGAGTGTTAGAGTTAGAGAGTTGAGACCGTATAGTGGGAGTGTATGAATACCCACTACCTCATATCATTCTGTGGTTGTTGTAAGAAGCGACAGAAGGACACAGACCAGGAGACGGGCTGCAGCGGTTTCCTAATAATAACTTATAAAATTGAACAGCAATTGCCATTTCGCTTGGCCAGCGTGGTAACTACGCAAGTATCCCGTTATGAGACAAATTATTAGAATAGAATGATTTTTTATTCAATACTGAATTTTTTTATAATTTGTTATTCAATTTTTATACGTGGTAGAGCAATGCTGCAGTTATATTAGTAGTATAGTTGTAGCACGATAGGGTCGGCTCGACCGGGGAAGGACCACGCTCTCACAGAATACCAGCGTAAAATAGTAGCTTAATGCTGCTGTGTTTCGAATGGTGAGTGTAGTGAACCGGAGACCGTTTTTACTGGAAACGAGGCACTCCATCTAAGTCCTCACGGGTGACAACGCATCTGCATTTTGATTTGCAATCGAGGATAGATGTAGATGTCTATGGGCCGCGGGAACCACTTACCATCAGGTGGACTGTGTGCTCGTTTGTCACCCTATCCTATAAAAAATTATTTCATAATACATATTGAAAGTCATTTTTATTAACCACTGCTGCGGAAAATACTTCTGTCCTGGGAAGAACCAACAAGTAACCCAGCGGGACCCAGATCCAGAGGCGACAGAGCGAAGCTATAACAGAAGACGAACAGCAGCTTCTCCCTGATAACAATCCAAAATAATTAAAAACTGCGGTTGCCACCCGGCGAATATGCGAAGTATCTCCTAACGGTGCAATATGTGGGGGAGGTCTGTGTTCGGCTGTGGTTTTTGATAGATTGCAGTGATAATGATGGTGATGAGATAAAATATGCAAACCAACAGCAACACTGGCTATGGTGATGTGACACAGGGCAGCCTCTCCACAGAAGAACTTTTGCTTGTGCTAAAATCCACTACAATGAATATCAAGATGACCCAAGCCTAACCGAAGCTATTTCTTATTTTGGTGAGGTTAGTGCCGTAAGCCATTTACTAAAGGCCGTTTAGCAAAGTTGGATGCATTTTTTCAGAAAATATTTTTTAGTTTTAGCTAATATAAATTTAGAAATCACACCGTGACCTGTTCTACAGGAGAGCAATAAATATTAGCAAAAAAGAAAGAAAGTGAAAACGCACTTTCCGATTTAAAAAATGTTTTTAGGAGTCTCTAACAACGTAAAAATACAATAACCGATCCGATTATATGACCCGTTCAATATTCGCAGATTATATCCTATATTGTTATGAAATACAGTCTATATTGTTTCCAAAGTACTATAAAAATATTTTATGTTAAATTAAGGTAAATTTTGTTAGCTTAGCAGTTCCCTTGATAATAAAACAATAATTTACTCTGAGTACCTCTACTTGAAACAGGTTATGCCCTGAGGATTTTTTCAGTTAAAAATTAAAGTCGATAAACGTCAATTGATTCTATCGCACTTATGCTGAGCGTTTCCTAGGGACAACCTTTATAAAAGCTTTTAGAAACTTAAATGACAAACCTTTTTTAAATTCGGTTTCAAATATTAAATATAATAATTTAAGAATGTTTAGTGCTTAAAAGAGTGCGTTTTTTACTTTTTTCCATTAAAGAAATAGTAAGAATATTGACTTTAATTATTATAAAGAAGTTAAATCTCAATTCATGACTCTTGTATCATGGTTTATTTAATAGGTACTGATGCAGTGCAAGTATGAGAACCTTTTCCGTTTTCAAATCATTCGACAGTCCATTCCTACTTCCGTCTAATGACGTGTGGGTATGCTGTCGTTGTACCACAAGCGAAACATACCAAAACTTAAATCACGCTATCAAAGCTCTGAAGTACTTCGGTACTTATAGAATAGCTCTGTACTACCTCTCGGAGCATTAGCAGCTCCACAGACTAAATACTTTACCCGGCAGAAGATCTGCCCTTTTTCTTCCACAACCAAAGTGGTGACCAGCCGACGTGATGTGAACACGCAACACGTACAACATAAAACCTCGGAAACTATAACTTTCGTCATTATCCTTAAGAACCACTCTACCATTCACTCGCGAGAATCGTCTTTTGCAGTCTTCAGCTCCAACCCAGTCCAACTTGTCTTCATCGCAACCCACGCTAGATTTGCAAGGCAGACTTTTGGTACTTGCTAGGGCCTATCATTCTTATCGATATCACTTGCCCTTGTGCACACAGCACACATTCCCCATTAACATTAAGGTCGCAACAGTACCAACATTAATGGCTCATAATAATCGTAATTTATGTTGGTTAAGTAAGAAAATACCAAAATCTAAACCCAAAGGGTGAACCTGTTTGTCAAGTTATTGATATTTTTTACACTGTAAAATTTTGAAGTGAATGAGGGCTAAGTTCAGGTCAACCAACTAAGGTAAAGTTATTTGTTAGGCAGATGTCCACATAGAGACATAATCATTGAAAAGTTTCTTTTTAAATATAAATTTTATTAATATTATAATTTTATTAATATACGTAATAATTTTCTGTATTCTTAAATTTTTTACACATTTTTTTACAAATCGTATATTTAATAAGAAAATCCATTGTTTCCGTTGATGATATTTTCGAAAATTAACATCAATTTCTACACTTTTCTAAAAAACTAAACTCTGCCGCTATGAATTCTGACAAATACGAGTCTTCACATCCAAGATTTCACCTCATTTCTAAGTGGCATGGCCCTGTTGCCAGAAAAAATTTGTGAATGCTCATTCAGAGTGAAACTTATTGCGCAATCTACCATAAATGTTAGAACAACGTCTCCAATTATAACCAATTAAAACTTTTAAAGCTTGAATAATAAATTATATTCTGTAATATTTTTCTGTAAATGGACTTCCCGGTATAGAAAGTTATGATCAAATTAGTTTTGAAGTATTTTAAATTAAAGTATTTTCGTACGTGGTAGAGCCACGCTACAACTAATTATTTGTAGCACGAATGACTAGGCTTGAGCGGGAAAAGACCACGACGGCCGACCACGGCCACGCAATATGTTCTAATGCTAGGCAATGAGTGTTCCGGCTTTCGTCACCGCTCGCAGAGTGTGGATTTTCAATCGCCCACATGTGGCAATTATGGATATTGAATATCCCACATCGCTCAAACTTTGATTCATCCGACTATAGTACTTTATCGAAAAAACCAGGATCCTCTTCATGTTTTGTAACATGGTGTGGCAAAAATTAATGCGCAATTAATATTCTGCAGGTAGTAAACTTTGGACTCGTCGAATGTGGTACGCGTGGTATCCTTCTTCGTGAAGTGTGCTTTGGATAGAAGACCTTGGGATGTCCAGAGCACGAGCCATAGCTCTCGTACTCGTTGACGGATTTCTCTCAACCTCTTCCAGCACCACTTCTCTGCGATCAAGGTCTGCTCTAAGGATTCCTTCATGATTTCCGCGTTGACCAGGAATGCGGCCTGCCATCAAGGTATTGTGAGTGTTAATAAAAATACGATGGTCGGGATAAAACGGCGGTTGCGGCCCACCACGATGTTGAAGTTGTTCGCGATACAGACGCGCTGCTTCAACGCCGTTTCCTCGTGCAACTCCATAAAAATAATGCATTTCTGCATACTCAATTAAAGTGTAACGCATTTCTTACACTTTCAAGTAAACTTTCAAGGAAACTTTTTTTTACGGAAAATATTGTAAAAACACACATTTCATACAGTCTTATTTATTGCTAGTGTTGATGAGTGAAGTAAATGACGTCCTCAAATTTTTAAAATATGTGTCATCAATATAACAACATCCAGGTAGTATAAAACAAAGTCGCATCCCACCGTTTGTACGGTTAGCTCTTTTAAACTATGCAACTGATTTTGATGCGGTTTTCATCAATAGATACAAAGGTTCAAGAGGAAGGTTTATATGTATAATAAGTTGTCAAAATCCAAAAATCACCCGCAGTTAGTCAGGAAGGATCACCATTCTATACATATAAAAGTATCTGTAATATTGAAATGAATAACCTGTGTACATAAACAAGAATACAATATGTAACTTCATTGATTCTCCCGCTGGATGTCTGGTCAGTCAGACGTGTTTACGAAAACTCTGCTAAAAATTATTTCTTGAACTTTTAATAAAATAATCTTTCATAAATACTGTGAAGTACTAGGGCCGCATTGACCGAGAAGAGCTTACGTCTCGGACGGGACAAGGACATCCATATAGTGAGTGTGACATACAAAACTATCTAAGTGCCGTCCTTGTATTTGACCCATCCCACTACTCAGCTTACCTCCGCACTGCTTAGCGTCGATTGGCTCACCCCGCCCTCTGCGCAGGACCTGGATTCTTACGGGGATCGTCACGCCCTTCGCAAGTGATTCACGTACGTACCGCTGTAAACTGCCGTCGGAACATTTAGGCCTAGAACACATTATTTTAGGCCTACAATATCTTATATTAAACGGCAAAATGTTAAGATCGCCCGCAGATAAACAAAACAATACTTATGGATCGGCTCCAACCCTACTCCAAAATAAAGACGGCTGCAATTCACCCGATAATAGCATATTACGATCTACAAAAAGACGCCGTTGCGAATGCGATTGTGCATCTACACCAGATTCTAAGTTAGACGTTTTTATAAATTCACTAACTTCCTGGAAACATGAGACGGATATCAATTGTCGGGTATTATGGAGTCAATAAACGAAATAAAACAACTCAGCTCGGACCTACTGGCGTCTAACTCGGAAATCGAGAAGTCCATCGAGTTTTTATCCTGTAAATATGATGAGATTTGCGGAGAAATTAAAAATGTACACTCGCAAAACATGATTTATGGTGACCGCCTATCGAAATTAGAGAACACTACAGAAGAGATCGAACGCTTCTCCCGCTCCAGTTCAATTGAAATCCGCAACCTGCCTATCAACCTGCCATTATCTCAAGACGATCAAGTAGTAATTGCCTGTCGCATCTTCTCGGAGTTGTCTACCAAAGTCCAGACTTCTGACATTTATGACATCCGTTGTCTCCCCTCCAAGCAAGATACTAAGACCGTACTTGTAACCCTTAACTCTGTCATCTTAAAAAACCAAATCTTGAAGGCCTTCAAGGAATACAATAAGAAGAACTCGGGCGGTAAGTTGAACGCAAAGGTTTTAGCTCCTGAATATCCTGGCCAACTGATATATGTCTCTGAAAATCTGACAGCCCGTACCCGCAGGCTCTTTTATCTGGCCCGCGAGTTTGCGAAAGCCGAAAACTTCAAACATTGTTGGACAGCAAATTGCAGGGTTCTTCTCCGCAAAGAAGACAATGGCAAACTCATTGTCCTTACCAGTGAATCTCAACTATCTAACCTAAAGTCAAAAAACTGATTGATAACATTTTTATTAGACGATATTTGTTTTGTATACATACCTCACAATCAAAGTATATACTTAATTTCTTCCATACACATCCAAATCAAACTTCTCACACTAACATAAATACATTTTGCGTAAAAATGTTTCTTCACACAAACATAACACAAAAATACCTATCAATATTTATTCATATTAAATATTATACTACTGTTAACTCTGAACTCCATCGATTAATTCGCCATAATTACCTTGTTATAATATTCCTTCCCGTTTTGTTATATAGGCTTAAACTTCATTTTTTACATAGCAACCCAACATCTGTTTTTGTTTGTCCCATCATTTTGGTTGACACCTCCCCCCTCCAAAATATTGCCACACAGGAGTTCCAACCCCTCTCCCCAATACCCTGCAATTGGAGGCTACATGCCATTGTGGCCCCCATTTTTGCAATCCAGTACTATTTACCCCTAATACATCACATTCGATATCGAGCTAATTAATAATATAGATAATGTGACTATTTGCAGTGCATCCTCTTGTGATCCACATGAAGTTCAAAATGCTCTCGCTGCCAATAACCTGGGTACTAAGCCATTAAGAATCCTCACCCAAAATATTTGCAGTATAAAGGCCAACATACACAATTTCTTAACCCTGTTACATAATATCAACACTGACCTGGACTTTTTGATATTGACAGAATGTTGGCTCGGCATCGAACCAGCTATTCCCTATATCCCTAGTTTCGTTTCCCACTCTTCATCTAACCCAGTGAACCAGAACGATGGCGTCGTAGTCTACTACAACAATTCAATTGCTAATGTCTCTATTTCTGACCCGAAAATAGTTGACGCCAGCTCGCTCCTCATCCAAATACAGCAAGATACTGTAATTTTAGCTATATATCGACCATGTGCATTTCGAAATCCCCTCAACTTTATAAATTCTCTTTGTCAGACTTTAGCTTCTTTAAATAAATTTAAAAATATCATTATTGCAGGAGATATCAATATTAATATTATATCAAACTCAACCCCTGATCAAAACACTGAAACATATTTGAATATGCTCGCCTACAATGGTCTTTTGCCAGCCCATACTATTCCCACTCGTAAACTGGCCTGTCTCGATCATGTCTTTCTAAAAAACTACATTTCCAGCCCAATGTCTTGTGATCCAATCCTCAGTTACGGACCACGACGCTATCTTACTTGTCCTCTATATGAAGAATATATCACATTCATCTTCCAAAGTCTCAAAAAAGATTGACATCCCCAACCTTATGGACACCTTAAAAAAAGTAAGCTTCTCCGATGTACTTCAGCTCACTGATCCAAACCAAGCAACTAACCTATTTATTAGTAAACTTCAGGCTGCGATAGATCAACACTCCAAGCCCAAGCTCTTGCCCAGCCGACGAAGGATTCTCAAACCCTGGATGACTCCTGGGTTACTAAGATGTATTCGAAATAGAGACGGCATGCATAAGAAACTTAAAAAAGACCCCCAAAATGACATACTTCGAAAAACTTACTGTCGCTACCGTAATTTCTGCAATTCCCTTCTTAGGAAGATTAGGATAGCATATGATAGAGAGCGGATAAATAAGGCTGGAAATAATAATAAAAAATTATGGAACGCTATCAGAGATGTTACAAACATGAACAAACAGCACTCCAACTGCAACGACCTCCTCACTTTTATGTCTACCACCTCCCAATCACTTGATAGTACAAATGCTTTTTTTGCAAATATTGGTAAATCTCTCGCTGAGGATATACTTATTGCCTCTACTCCCTCCCCCCTAAAATTCGCAATACCTCGCTCAAATCAGACCTTCGTTCTCCTTAATACCACTCCATCCGAAGTTGACTCCCTCATCTCATCACTCAAGGAAAACTGTGCGGTTGGGTGGGATAATATTCCCTCATCTATCCTTAAATGCGGAAAGGATTTTCTCGTTCCTGCTATATGCCATTTATGCATCCTGAGTCTTTCTTCAGGTTGCTTCCCTGATGCCCTCAAGAAAGCCCTAGTTCACCCCATTCACAAGAGTGGAGATCGAAGCCAGCCCAATAATTACCGCCCCATTTCGGTCTTACCCGCCTTGTCTAAGATCCTGGAGAGGTTGATCAACAACCAGTTAATCCAATTCCTAGAGAAAATGAACTTACTGTCCCCTGAGCAATTTGGTTTTAGATCTGGCAGATCTACAGCAGATGCGGTTCACTCTCTCACAGATCATGTGATTAGAAACTTAGACAAGGGTAATAAATGTTTATCGGTCTTCCTGGACTTGGCCAAGGCCTTCGACACGGTTTCGATCCCCATCCTCTTGTCTAAACTGGAGGCAATTGGTGTCAGAGGTGCCCAACTATCCCTCTTCCAGAGTTATTTTTCAAACCGAAACCAGGCTGTCACTATCAATGGAAAAGTGAGTTCCGAACTATCCATGAGTTACGGTGTTCCCCAGGGAAGTATTCTTGGCCCGACGCTCTTCTTGGTCTATATCAATGACCTCTGCTCTCTCAAAATTCCTAGTTGTAAGATTGTCTCCTTTGCAGACGATACCGCCCTAATTTTCTCGGCCTGCTCCTGGAAAGATACCTTCCAACTTGCCCAATCTGGTTTGAACTTAGTCTCTCTCTGGCTCCGTACTAATCTACTCACTCTCAATTCCAAAAAAACCCAGTATATCACCTTCTCCCTCCGCAGTATTCCACCCAAAGCATTAGAAAACTATCGATTACTTGATCATTCCCATTCTGACCACCCCCTCTCCCCATGTAACTGTGAACCTCTTACCTCGACCGATTCCACAAAATATTTAGGTACTATTATAGACAATAAACTGACCTTCCAGCCACACATCAACCTCACCGCTTGTAGACTCCGTAAACTTATGTTCGTCTTTAAAAATCTTCGCCAAGTCGCAGATCCTTGTCTAGTTAGATCAGTCTATTTAGCACTTTGTCAGTCACTTATAGTCTACTGTTTAACAACCTGGGGTGGTGCGAGTAAGTCAATACTAATTAAGCTGGAAAGAGCCCAAAGAGCGGTCCTCAAAGTCTGCACGTTCAAACCCCTGCTATCACCAACCTTCGATCTTTATCAGTATTGTGAGGTTCTTTCAGTTCGCCAACTCTTTATTTTATTAACTGTCCTCAAACAACATAGTAGTTGCAGCTATGATCCCTCTTTAATGTTTTCCCAGCGAAATCACCTTGTAGTACGTTCAACCCCGTTTAAAACTCTAACCTCACAACGCTTTTTCTGTTTCTTGGGCCCCTTCCTCTATAATAGACTACATCGTGTGCTCAACATCTTTCCTCTTACAAAACTGTCCTGCAAATCCAAAGTCTCTAGTTATTTGCAGACTATGAACTATGAGGAGACTGAATCTCTCCTCCATCCTATCAGGTAGGTAATAATATACTAACGCCCACACCCACTCTGACACACGCACTCACACACACACACGCACACACACACACACACACACACACGCACACACACACACACACACACACACACACACACACACACACACACACACTAAACACACACACACACACACACACACACACACACACACACACACACACACACACACACATACACACACACACACCATTTCTCTCTCTTTTCTCTCTTTTTGATTACTTTGCAATCACCAACTGTACCTTAATGATCAACATCCTGTGAGGAGAGTGCTGGTGCTCTGAAACACAGGCTCTTAGCCTAGCTCGGACGCCAGTCTCTCACAATCTAAATATGTTTTTTCCCTGGTAAAAACCTCTGTTCATTACTATACTAATATCTTAGATTGTGGAGAAAATAAAGAATTTTTATTATTATTATTATTATTATATTGACATAGGCAGGTATTTCTAAGAAAAAAAATGTTTTTTATAAAATTGGTAAATATCGTTATGTAATAAATTGATGGGATTGATTTAATTTAACGTTTATTTTCTTCTTTTTAGAGAATTTTAATAAAAACTTGTTTTCAAAAATTTTTTTTTACTATTAATTTATTTTAGGTATAACTTGTATATCTTCTAAGATTTTATTAACTCAATGTCAAAAAGGTCACCGAAAAATTGAGTTTGATTGAAAATACTCGTACACTTTAGCCAGTTTGTATTATATTTCATCGTGAATAAAATTGTTTCAGAATAACCGAAGTCAATTATAACATCACTTTTTTCGTAAGGTATATTTTTTATAAAATTGAAATGACCTAATGATAAGTGGCTACAAAAAATATTTCGAAGACATATGTAGTTGGCCAACACGAATTGTGGAAGCACAGACATTTTCTTGTCCCAAAATCCCACTCAGAAATAAGAAGAGGCCTGTGCCCGTCACTGGACGTATATAGAGTGTAACTTTAACTTTAAGAATCAAAATGCGAAGTTCTTGTTCCCAGTAAAAAGCGTCTCCGGATGTCTACACTCATTATACAACACAGCAACATTGAAACCGCCATTTATCGGAGGACATACGACCTTTCTCGATTTCTTCAAAATCTTTCCCTTTGGCCGCCTTCACCGCCGCATTCACAGGATATCTGCGATGATATCATCTTATATCGCTATCACAAGTTGTTCTTTATACGTTAATGTCTTTCAGACCTAATTTCGGTTACTGCAGCCAGTCCGAACTTAAGAATAGCCAACTGCGCATGACGGGATGTCATCGAGTGCATGCACAAGCACAGGTGCACACTCTATTCCCTCATTCTCATAGTCCGATGGAACGATAACCTGACACGATCAGAAGAGAAGTCAGGCGCAGGACCTACGACTTTACAAGGCTCTGGGATGAAGCACCACCAAATTCCTGACTCCGAGCTGCTACTAAGAATTTCTTGACAGAAAAACGGAACTGATTTTGGACTGGCCCGGGATTCAAGCACGAGACCTCATAAATATTAATCGCATTTACAACTACTAAGGCTAACAAGATAGTTAATTAGTATGTAAAGCACTGTAGGTACGTTTAAAGCT